TATGTTAAAGCGGATATTGGCAAATCAATATAACAATTATTATCTAAAATGAAAACTAAAATTTTTGGTAACTTTGATATCCACTAACTTCTAAATGAAGCAATTTGGGTTATAGGTAAGTTTAGTTAAAATTACTATGCCAAGAATCTGTAATAGTTCCATATACATGGAATAATGAGACACCCTGTATTATTGTATTCCCGAGACTTTTTTCAAATAGGTGCCTATATAGATTTATATTTTTTTTTATATATAAATTAATGTTATTAGCTGTTGAAATATCTACATGCAAGGAGACGAAAATTAAATACTATTAATACAAGTAGGTACCTTTCTTACTATTTTTACTAAGTTATGAAGTTCAGTCGTGATAAAACTATTTTGAAATGCTAAATTCTTATATATTAATTTTTTTTATAATTGATAATTAATCCAAGGTTCATATTCACCAATCAATTACTAAAAAACTAAACAACTGCAATTGCTGTGTTATTTTAATTTTTTTAGGTTTATATAGAAGTCAGGTACATGTGAAGCTTGGTCACGTCCACTGTACAAATATTAATAATTTGAATAAAAAAAGTTGTTACTACAAATCACTTCAAGAGTGTTACGAAATAATTCGACCACTGTGTTCATTCAATTCTCGATACCGGACTACCTGACCTAGGAAAATAATATGACGTGCACAAATTTAGCAATCCGCAATTAAGTACTCGTTACCGCATAAAAAGCAATCAGACCCACCCAGTACGAACGTTTAATAATCTTGCACAAAAGCGTCTACATGTGTAAGGTCGTATTTTTTTTTCGCCACAAATAAGGAGATTTGGTACCGGGTTCAAACGGGTTCTACTCTTGATAATGTTTTGTCAAGATCGACCTTGCCCAAAAGAGTAGTAGATGCCACACCCCGCTCGATGTGAGGTTGAATTCGGCATAAGATGTGATTATAATGGTGCAAATATATTTTTAGTAGCCTATTTGAATATCATAACCATAATCACCATGAATAGTAATAACCACTTATTTGTATAATAAATAAAACTAATCATTTCAGTAAATTATATTGCCTCGAAATAAACAATTATTTGTTTATTGTATCTTAGTTAGCTGTCTAGTTATCTAAATATATGAGTTGAGCAAAAATTGTATTAAAATTATGATAAAAACCCAACAAAAAATTAAATACTCTCTTGACAATGCATTAAAAAAAACTTCTTGTACATTTCAATCCACTATTTGTGACAGAATTCTAAATTTCATGATAAAAGTTCTGATGATTTCGATCTGCCTCACTATTTCGTAGAAATTTGGATATTTTCAAAACACTCCTTACGTCCTTTTTTATTAAGCTCATTCGAAAGCATGAGTGTTGTTTTAAATAAGTAGCACAACTACTTTACCATATATTTAGCTAATAACTTGCGCTATATTTCAAGTTAAATCAACAAGGTTAAAATTTCGCACAGAAGATTTATTTATCGTAAATGCGGTACCTCGAAATTGTTGTCAAAACTGACTACAAGGTAACAATATGCATTTATTTAAATTGCCAATATGTTTTGGAATATGAAGCCAGTTTTATACAGAGCCGACAAAGTAAAGAGACATACGTGTTCATACATTATTGCCTTAGTTATTTGTTAATATTTAAAGACAATTTTACAAATTTTTGAATATGAAATCTATATTTTCATGACGAATACATTTTGATAAATTTGTTATACATATTAATCGGGCTGGTGTGCATTAGATAAGAAAATTACAGTAGCATTCTCAATCCTTTAAGAGAAAAACATTTATAAATACTTAAATTTGTTATATTATTATATTTTATTTAGGTCATAATTTTTATATTATAAGCCTACTGCGCCCTATTATCCTGCTCGTATTCTGACCAAAGGTCTCATGATTACTGTTCAATTAGATGCTAAATATCTGTGTCAATACCGCCGACTACTTTGCAGAACCAATGAATTTCTCAAGGTTTACCACATAAATTAAAAATTTCTGCACGAAAGAATATAAGGTATCAATTTACAATTAACAATACACCCAAACCGCAGCTAAGTGTAATATCTCAGGAATCGAGATATTTCGATTGAGCCTCAGGTTCTATAAGTTTTTAAAATGGTACTATTTTTAGATTACAAAATGAACTTTGTTTTAAATTATTTAAAATTTAAATTTTAAAAACTTCAGCTTTACTACATTCGAAGAGCGTGAAGTAAACAAATCAGACTTTCAATTCCCAACGGTATCTATTTCACAAAATTTTGTTGCTTTATATTTCAAAATAATTAAGTTAAAACTACAGATTACGCTATACAATGTACTAATTTTGTTATGACTAAACTGAGACCGATCAATAGAAACATTTGTCAGTCAGGCTTTGATTTATATAAAACTAGGTACCTAATACGTTTTTTTATTTTTGAACAAGCTTAAAATGGTGCAGTAATTGTATCCAGAAGGATATTTTGAGAGTTTTTATAGAACATAAATATCACTTTTCAATAAATAATTTTCATATTTCCTTTTTTCGGCATTAAGATTGAATTTTAATTATACCTATATGAAACAACAAATTTAGAAAAGCAGAGTTTTACTAAGCGAATATACTCCTAGTTTTTGAGTACGAGCGAGCTCAGCGAGCGGCTCATTTAAAAGCTACATGAGTTTGGTAAAATTCTTTTTTTACGATAAGCTGTTGATATTACCATATATAAGAATTTTCTCGGAAATCCATATGTTTAAAAAATGGGAACAACTTCCATCAAACCTGGCAATTCTTCTTCGAGAAAATGCCGGTAATTATGTATTTAACATCTCATGAAGAAAATAGGGTCCAATTAAATAATCACCGCATATTCCAACCCATACGTCAACGGAAAACTGCCCCTGGTGACGGGATTGCGTGTGGGTTTTCTTCAGCCCAAATATGATTGTTGTGGAAGTTTTGGATGGCGTTTCTGGAAAAATTGGGTTCATCGGTGAATAAAATTTCAGTGTCAAATAATGGATTTTCATTCAGTTTATGAAGAAACCATTGGCAAAAGTTTATCCGTAATGGAAAGTCGCGAGGTAATAGAGCTTGAACCCGTTGGATATGGTAGGGATATAATAAAAAGTCATGGAGAATTTTCCAAATAAGAACATGTACATTCAAATTTTTCCCAATTTTCTTGTACTTAATGGATCTTCCTCAATTGAATTCAAAACCGCTATCTCAATTTCTGGAGTTCTTACAGTACGGTGTACTCCTTTTAGATGATTGTCTGGTTAAAACTTCCCTTTTCGCACAATCTTCTATGAATGTTTGAAAATGTTCGCGCGTCCGAAATATTTCTATTTGGAAAGCAGTCTTCATACAAGCGTCTGGCTTCCAGTGCGTTACCATCAGCAAGCCCATACATGTACCTAGTGCATGTCAGCAAACTCAGAATTCGTATATTGTACCATGTTTTTTATATAATATTGTTAATGTTAATGACTTTAATACGTGACAACTAGACTGGGTAGACAACTGTCAAAACTGTTTATGTTTACAAAACAACATCTGCTTTTTACCTACTAGATCGTTTTTAATTCTTATTAGTATCTAATTTCATAACAGCGTACAAATGAATGAATTTTATTTTTTATGCGAAAAACGTACGCCAAACGAAAAAATTCAAGACACCACATTTGCTCAGAAAGGAATGAGAATTTCAAAAATGGTTTTTACTTTAAGAAGAAGCAGTGGCGTAACATCTTTTTCTTCAAAAATATTCAATACAAAATCTGTACCACTGGCAAAAATAATAAAATTGTTTGTACATCAGAAAATGCATCTTGATGAATAGAAGGCGTGTACCAAATTTGAAAAAATACCAAAGTTATCATAAAAAAATGTTTTTTCATAAAACTTTAGCACCCTGTAGTTCAAAAATTAAGTCTTAGGAGATAATATGTTCATATCAAGTTTTTTTCTTAAAATGGACCCAAGAATAACCTCCTTAAATATTAGCACGTTATTAAGAAACACCCTGTATATCACTAGAATTTGAAAATCTGAAAGTAGTAGTAGGTACTTAGAACGTAGTAGAAGTAAATACTATAGAGTTGCAACTGATAATCTAAAAATCTCTACCATGTTTCTTTTAAATTTTTTTAAAAACATTTAGTCCGGACGGTATCCGTTTCAAAGAGTCCATATTTGGGTGAATCGTATATCCACTGAGATTTTTGCATTTTTGGCTTTCAAATAGGTATCACTGGAAATAAAAATTTTTCTATACGCATAAAAAAAACGTGGGCTTAACTTTTGACGGCACAATTTGTTAAAAAATTTGAAAAATGTCATATTTAATTGTATCTTTTCAAGAGTTGATTTTAGGGGAAAATTTAAGAGGAAAAAAATGTTTGTAATTAAATTTTACAAAATGTGACTAGGTACAAATCGAACGAATCATGATTACTATTGTAAAAATCGAAAAAATCGCCAAAAATTGGGTTAAAAACATTATTTTTTAGGAAATTTTTTTGGGGTCTTTAAGTTGGGTATAAGACCTTCATACTTGGCTGAAGAAAAGTTCATGTTATGTAGAATCATCACCCCAAATTTCATCAAAATCGGTTCGATAGATTTTGCATAATAATTTTGCAATCGCGATTTAAAAAAAAAAATTGCAAATTTTCAAAATTTTGCACAGCAAAAACCAAGGCCCTTAGATACTTGAAAATTTAATCACATATAGAATGGTTCTCGAGCTTTCAAACGCTTTTTGAAAAATTCGAATCCGTCAATTAGGAGTGCTCTGGCGCTTGTTTAAACATACATACACCAAAATAGATACCGCTTGGTCTAATTGGAAAAATGTATTTTTGAATTTTATCACAATGTAACTTTTTTACGGGACGTTTTTAGATCTGTTTTAAGAAACTTTTTAGTTACAAAGGAAAAGGGAAGGAAACAAAACATGAGCTAATTATAAAAATTATATTACAAATGTAGGAACAAAAATTTTGAATCCAGATACAACAGACCAGACAACATAATTTGTCTAATGCTCTCACTGCTTTGCTCCTACGTTCTCACAGCTTGTTCAGTCTTGTCTAATGATGAGCTAAAAATCCATGTCCGACCAGGGCGGGGGCGGCGTAAGCGGCGACGACAGGGGCGGCGGCAAGAACGGGGGCGGCGTGGACAACTGGTGCGGCGTGGACAACTGGGGCTACTAGGGCGGCACTGTGCACGATAGAGCTGCTCTGATGGCTGATGGAGGTCGGTACGGAGCCCACGACGGCGGCGCTGTAGACCGTGGGGGCCAGCAGTCCTGGACGGGCTGCGGCTAAAGCAAGGAGAGCGGACAACACCACCAATTTGAACATCTTGCGTCGGTAGGTCTGTGTTGTGCTGTAGACAAACTAAGACTGATGACTTATGGACTAAGTTTTTTCTCTTTTATAGGTAGGCGAACGCGTGAGGCACTCGATTAATCTTCGATTTCGTGACGTGAGGGATACGGGAAATGAGACATAAAAATTCTGGCCTTGTCCAGGTTGACGCTGAATTGGCGATCGGGTGGAGAAGCAGAAGCCCTTGACATGAGTGGCCTGCAAAAATGTAAGGCGGATCAAGGGATCTGTCGCGTATTTTTTAAAATTTCAAGGGAATTATTTAAACGTTAAATGTTATTAATAGTGAGTAAAGTCTAAGAAAATATAAAGTAATTAGACATATACCTACTGCATTCTACAGGATGTAACATATCAACGTGCCAGAAAACGAAAATCCAAATCTAATGATATATTCAATTTGTTTTATTAACCTGGTAAGGTATAATAAAACTGCAGATATGGCATTAATTTTATAAAAAATACTCTTTCCCTATAATACACTACAAGCCCATCGGAAATTTTCAAGGGGTCATTTGACCCAGCATGAATTACTTATAAATCAATACTACCACATATAACAACAACTTTAGAAACTATGCCGTCAATTCTTGTACAGAATTTCTAGAGTATATAGGTTATACAAAAAAAAATGAACTTCGACCTAATTCCGTACAAAAATAGCAATACCGGAAGCCAGAAAAATTTTGGTCCGGGATTTGGTGATTTATTACAGTACGGCATTTACATAGATAAATTTTTAAGCCACGCCGTACATACTTGCTGATACAGGGGTTAGGAATACAGGGTGCAACCTTCTATTTGTAAGTAGCGTATGGTGGGTGATTTGAACAAACATCAAATTCACTAATTTTAATTCTATTTTGTAAAACAATAACATTTTTGGCAATGCCGTACATTTTTCATGAAACGTGTGCTTACTATAGGAAAATTAATTTCCCTCTGAAAAGTAGGATTTCACTGTGAAAAATTTTTGTACGGCATTAATATATTTTGCTAATACTGACAACAATAATCAACAAAAACAAAATGCCGTACAAAAAAAATTGTTCTAAATGGCTTGAAATATATTTTTGCAAATAAGTATTACTTGCAAGAATTGATTTTATTTTTACTACTATTTTCTCCTTAATACAAATTAGTTACTACTGTACGGCCTTTCTATAATCTATAAGACTTACAATATAATATAGAGATATTTTTCAGGAATGCCGTACATATTTGTTGTTACAGCAGTGAGAAACCCCTATATTCTGATTCTTATGGTTTCCGATCATTGAAAAATTGTCGGTATTGTTGCTAAAACATTATTTAATGGTAAAATAATAAAGTACTAAATATGCCGTTAAAAAGCGATATAAAAATTATTAATTTTATAAATTTGAAAAGCTTATATATTAATATTTTTTTCACAAGAACATAAGTAATATTTTTTCAAAATTCAAAAATTTATTATTAAAAAATCAATAAAAAATATGCATTCGAATATTTTTTAAAAAAATTTGGAATTAATTTTATTTTAAAATTAAAATTACCTCTTCGAGATTCTAGCTGGCCATCGAAACATCTTCTTTCTTTGTCTCTTTTTTCTTTTCGGTGTGTAAATTTTTATGTGGTTTTATTCATGTTTATAACCAACAATCTTAAAGTTGTTTTTGTAACAAATGCACTTTTAAATTATTTTTACTAATTTTAAATATATATTGTATGTTAATAGCTTCATCACAATTTTTGCATAAATAAATTGTTCAAACAAAAGCTGCAAATATGCAAATGCCAGGGTACTGTTGCCTCAAATCATATATTATATCACTGTTTTAAATGTAAGTATTTATATAGGAATTATCATGAATATTGAGTTAAAATTAATTGTTTATTATTATATTTATTTAAAAATAATACTTTCTTGCACGTCATAAAATTTCAAAATTTCTCAAAATATTTTCTCGATTCTCCAAACACAATTTTTTTTTAACTTAAAGACAATGCTATCATAATTTTTACGTTATAAATTAAATTTCCTTGAAATTAGGAAGACCTAAAAATGTAGTAAAAATTTAATGAAAAATATTATCTGCTATGTAAAACCACTAGTTAAAAATGTACGGCATTGTTTTTTTTTTTATTTTTTTACTTATGAAAAACCAATTACAGCCAGAATATTTTGAATATAACATTTTTAGTTTATAACAAGGAATTTTCAAAATATTGTAAATTTTCACAATTTATTTATTTGTTTTTTCATTCGAATTTTTAATTTGTACCATTAATTATAACCGGCCATGATTTGGTACGATAGTTTTTGGTTATATTTTATCAAAAAAAGTGGTTGCCGTACAGGCATTAATGATCTTATCGAAAAAAATAAAACTCAATTCCAAAAGGTAATTGTTTATAAACTTATGCATTAACCATAATTTGAAGACGGCATAGTTGCTAAGACTTATTTGGAGAGTTAAATAATCCTGTGGAATCGATGCCGTACATTTTTCAATGACTTGAAACAAGGGAGCTAAAATAGAGGGTTGCGCACTGCATTTCTAACCCCTGTATCAGCAGATACGTACGGCGTCACTAAAAAAGTTATCTACGTATCAATCCGAAACTTGCATCATAAATGCCGTACCGTAGTAAATCACCAAAAACCGGGCCAAAATTTTCAGAAAATCAAAAATTTTCCTGGCTTCCGGTAATTTTTGTACGGCATTAGGTCGAGGTTCATTTTTTTTTGTATACAAAAATATTTTGCCGAAAACCACCCCCCCTTATTGGTTATAAGTAATTCATGTTTGGTCAAATGACCCCTTGAAAATTTCCGATGGGCTTATAGTCTATAATTGACCAATTAAATGTTGATCAAATAACACAAACATTTTTTCACAGTTTTCATTTTCCTTTCTTTACACTTTTGGAAAAATTAGTAGTTACCGACCTTTGGTATGACAAATATCATTCAAAAACTGTTTATTATTAAAATTATTCAAATCGTTCACTGGAACAATAGAAAGCTTATTAAAATTATGACAATAACCTGAAACGCGACCGAGATGAGAGTGAAACCACCACAAGTTGAAGGTTAAGGTTACAAACGAGAACGAGAGTTAGGAAAGTAGGTGTAACATCATCGTGAAGACATCAATCACAATTGAGATTATGACACGATACTTCTGGTGTTTCGTAACGATTCGAACATTGCTTGTGTAGTTAACAGTCGCAGTAAGAAGTGAATGTAAAAGTGAAAAACGTGGCGAAAATACGCGTGATGGTTATTTAAATTTGAAAATGTAGTTTGTAATCGTTACATAAAATCGATTCTTGTCTAGATATATGTATATGAAGATAAAGAATGTCATGTCTAAACAAACTTTGGTTGAGTATTTCTGAAAAAATAATCATAGTAATTAAGAAATATAACGTATATTAATTTTAAAATTTAGGATAAAATTGAATTTAACGAATTTTATTGTATTCTCAGATATAAAGCACGCAGATAAGGGCGCTTTTCTAAAAAATAGTTCTTTCTTTAATATATCTCTTTCTTTTCTACTAAGCAATGAAATATACGTAAATTCTTAATTTGGGTGAGGTTTTGTATTCGTTCTACTTATATTTTTGTTTTAAATATGACAAATTAATTATAGAAGTTTATGTTGAAATGCATATTAGGTATAGACATACATAGTCAATAGCCTTTTTGAATATTCTTGTTGCCAATAATGTATATCGTTGTTGTTTATAACTTCAATTATATTTAAAATGTCTGATCTTGAAATTACACTGATTTTCCTGCATTTCAAGCCTCGGAAGACCCATCCAGTTTAGGTAGAATTTTTTAATTTTCTGTAATTTTGTTACGGCTTATCAAGGTTTTTTAATTTTCATAAAAACATTGAAATTAACATAATTATATCAAGTGATTAGTTAAATTGATTTTTATCTAATTTCGTTTCGGGGTAAGAACACAACATTCACAAAGTTGACGATTACTACATTTTTCTCTCGATCGAAAGGTTTTTTGGAAAGTGGTTCAGCATTTCGAAATATTGAAATAATCGTGCATGTACACAATTTGTTTTCTTTTTATTTAATCGTTACGCTTTGTGAGCAGCAAGTGAATAATTTTGAATAAGATACTCGGTCCGATTTTAAAATTCACCGTTTTGGTTGGTGCTCTCGATAGAAGCAGTCGCATTGCACACGATTATTGTGACATTAAACAGACTTCCTTACAAAATCGGAATACTTATATCCATTTTGATGTCAGGCCGACACAATAAATGTGCCATTCATATCCTAGAAGGAGATAGATACTAATCTCTCATTGAACATTTCACCAAATCAGATGGTTTACTGCGACGTAAGTGGGTCGCCGGTTTTCGAAACAGCACAGGGTGGAATACATAAAAAATGTCTTCAAAATTCATTATAATCTAGTGGCATAGAATATAAAACGATTTTGAAGAATTAAGGGTTAAACCAATGTTAAATGTATCTAATAGAAAATAATATCTAACCTCTACTTTCATTTAAACAAATATGCAATTTTCTACTTTTACTTGTTTTATATTTATAGAGTATATTGTTAAGTGGATCACCCCGTATATAAACATCGTACATTAATAATTGTTTACGTGACATTCTCTACACATATGCATAATGTATGTATTGACGTTTTTACGGTGAAATGTCTCAAGGTATCTACATATTTCGACAATACGAAACGGACGATCACTTCACGCAACCAACATCGTCATCCACTATTTGTACAAATAAGTACATATCCTTTTCCATGAGCTATACAATTCTGGTTATGATAGACGCCGTATACGACTTTCACCCATTTTCATTGCATTGCCTAACTCGAGTGTATTATCATTGTTACGCTTTAGTGAACTAATTAATATAAGACATACACAAGTTATAGACTATTTGCTGCAAATTGTACATTTGCAGGAAGTTTTAATAACGAAAGCCTAAATTCGCGATATTTAACAGTTCAGTGC